GGGACGTGCCCGAGATCACGCCAACGGAGCGGCCGGGGCCGGGGTTCAAGTCCCGGCAGGCCTCTCGGACCCGGCCGCTGTCAGAGGGGGACTGGCCTCTAGGCCAGAGGGGAGACACTGAACCGTGGGCCGCGGCTTCTCGACCTGAATAGAGGAGGAGCAGCGAGGGGCAGAAGAGTGACTAGAAGAGGATGCGAGGGGCCCTGGGACGTGGAAAGAAAGCCAGTGAAAACCTGAGGGTCTCTTGCATTTAATTTAAAGCCCGCCTCGGGGCACCGAGTGGCTCAGTCTGTTAAGTGGCCGACTTCGGCTCAGGCCGTTGATCTCATGGTTCGTGGGCTCGAGCCCCGTGTCAGGCTCTGAGCTGTCAGCGCCACTTCGGATTCTGTGTCTCCCTCTCTGCCCCTCCCCCGCTCGCACTCTGTCTTTCTCTCAAAAATAAACAAACATTAAAAAAAAAAATTTTAAGCCCGCCTTAAAGGAGAACACGGAAAACGGTATCCGGGCCCACCTGTTACTATAAATGTCTGTCGTGTTCTTCCAGACAGGCTCCACATGCTTAACTCAGTTATGTGACCAACTCCACAAAGACCTCAACAGGCCAATGACAGATAAAGCAGAATGTCACAATGACACTGGGCATGGCCGCCCCCAGAGCGGTGTACTCCTAGTCTCTCTCCAAAGCGGAACGAGGCCCGGGGTGGGTCGGGGACTAGCCCGACGCCTTTCCGAGGAACAACGAGAAATAACGAGACATCAGCGGACCCTCACGTTCTCTGCAGACCTTCCCCGACGTCTGCAGTGTTAAGCCCTTCCTGCCTGTACCCAGAGCTCCCTCTGCAAGAGCCGGTCCCCTGGGAGACGGCTGCGCTCACCGCCCCGAACAGGAGACGGTTTCGGGTCCCAAACCCCGTACTCAGAACGGCACCTGCCACGGGCCGCACCGCCCGGATTCTCTGTCCCGGGCCCGTGTCTCTGGGCCTCTCGGACTCTGGCCGGTCTGGCGGATGCACGAACACCCAGAGAGGGCAAAGCAGACGCACAAGCAGGGAAGCAAGACAAGGTCACGGGGACCCGGAGACAGAGCGAGCGGACGGCGGGCACAGGGGGCTCACTTCTGCTGTTCCAGCCGCAGCCGCTCCTCCTCCAGCCGCCGCCGCTCTTCCTCCTCCCGCCGAAGCCGCTCCTCCTCCTCTCTCCTGCGCTTCTCCTCCTCCTTCTGCACTCGCTCTCGCTCCTCTTCTTCCCGCCGCCTTCGCTCCTCCTCCTCCTTCCTACGGGGGAGGACAGGGAGGACAGACACCATGAGCGCCGCACGAGGGCTCCCGCTTCAAAATAACCAAGGCCGTCTTTCCCAGTGACCACGGACTCAGCCCCGAGAGGACGTGGTGGTCTTCTCACACTGCAAAACGTGCGCGCTCCGCCAGGAGCCATCTCCCCTCCGGAGCCCACGTCACCGCACGCAGGACCACGGCAGGGACATCGGCCACCGGGCAGCACAGAGAGGTGTCCGTCGGGAAGACACCACTGCAATCACTACCATACGCCCACAGCCCAAAGGTTTCCCAGCCCGGCGGCCTCCCAGCCCGGCACGGTGCTCTCGACACCAGTACAGAAGTGAACATTGCCCCTCTAGTGCCACGGAGCCACAAAACTACGAGTCGTGGCCGAACGTACTGATGTTTACTCTGCTCGTGTAATGCGAAGAGCAGGCAAATACAAAGGACGCCTTCCTGGGTCCGTTACCAACTGCGGAGAGAAGACGGCACTGACAGCAAAGCGGGGACAGGGCTCTGGCCTGTGCTTTACGTGTTGCTAATGAAAAACATTTATAGGGCACAGATCTGTAGGTTACTTCTGAGTTTAAAAAATATCAAAGCTTTCAGACGCCCACTGGCTTAGTCGGTAGAGCATGAGACTCTTAATCTCAGGGTTGTGAGTTCAAGGCCCACGTTGCGGTGGAGCCTACTTAAAATTAAAATAAGGGGCGCCTGGGTGGCTCAGTGGGTTAAGTGTCTGACTTCAACTCAGGTCACAATCTCACGGTTCATGAGTTCGAGCCCAGCGATGGGCTCTGTGCTGACAGCTCGGAGCCTGGAGCCTCCTTCGGATTCTGGGTCTCCTCCCTCTCTCTGCCCCTCCCTCCTTCACGCTCTGCGTGTCTCTCTCTCTCTCTCAAAAATTAACAAACGTTTAAAAAAATTTATTTAGGGGCGCCTGGGTGGCGCAGTCGGTTAAGCGTCCGACTTCAGCCAGGTCACGATCTCGCGGTCCGTGAGTTCGAGCCCCGCGTTGGGCTCTGGGCTGATGGCTCAGAGCCTGGAGCCTGCTTCCCATTCTGTGTCTCCCTCTCTCTCTGCCCCTTCCCCGTTCATGCTCTGTCTCTCTCTGTCCCCAAAATGAGTAAACGTTGAAAAAAAAAATTTTTTTTTTAAATTTATTTAAAAAAATAAGTTACAAAGCTTTGAACATAAAAGAGAAAAAGAACAGCAGGAAATGCAGGTGCTGCCCCATCCAGCTCTGGCCCTCCCCTGGTGCCTCTCTGGCTACCCGCGGTGTGGACGGCAGGGTGGCTGAGGACGGGACACAGAAGACCTCTGAGGATCTGAGAAGACACCACACTTCTTGGTCTTACCATGACAACTGCTTGGGTCACCCCGCTTTTCTCCCAAAACTCCTATAATTGATTAACAACACATCCGAGCCACAGCCAAGGCTCAAAATATAGCGATAACATGACCTACTTGTAACCGGTCACAGCTGGCAGGGGGTAAGATGTTCCAAGGCCAGAGCGAGACTTCTGGACTGAGGAACTCTAGTCTTAAATGCTTTCAAGGAGTGCTAGATGAACTTGATCTCATGACAGAACTACAGTTTTAAAAAGAAAAATACAGGGCGCCTAGGTGGCTCAGTTGGTTAAACTTCCAACTTCAGCTCAGGTCATGATCTTGAAGTTCAAGAGTTCGAGCCCCACCTTGGGCTCTGTGCCAACAGCCCGGAGCCCGGAGTCTGCTTCGGATTCTGTGTCTCCCTCTCCCTCTGCCCCTCCCCCGCTTGCACACGCTCTCTTAAGAATAAACAAACATGTGGAGCGCCTGAGTGGCTCAGTCGGTTGAGCATCTGACTTCAGCTCAGGTCATGATCTCACAGTTTATGAGCTGACACCCCACATCGGGCTTGCTGCTGTCAGCACAGAACCCGCTTGGGATCCTCTGTCCCCCTTTCTCTCTGTCCCTCCCTGGCTTGCACGTGCTCTCTCAAAAATAAACAAACACTTAAAAATAAATATCTAAGTAAACAAGTAAATAAATAAATACGCAAATGAACGAACGTTTTTTAAAAAATCAAAACTTGTCCTTTGGATAAAAACAATCTTCTTTTGGATAAGTGCCTTCTGAAACGTCCGAAATGATTTCCTATCATCTTACACAGGAACGGACTGCACCTAGGGCTGTCCCTTGATGAGCCGGTGGTTACAACCACAGACACAAGGGCTGTCTACGTCCTTGTGCTGTGACGGAGAAGTTCACCTTCACGTTAAGTGGCCCTGACAGCTATCCTTCTCTAGTGTTTGTGCCTATTTTTCAAGGTTTCTGTCTTCTTCCTATCAGGCTGTTTTCTCTTCTGTTGTTTCCAATTCAGGTTAAGGTAGAACACCAGAGAACCAACTGTTTCCAAAGTAAATACAATCTGAGGAAAAACTGGTTTTATGGTGTCACTTTCATTACCCAGAAATTTTAGATAATCAAAGTCATCGGAAGTATACCCTGTAGATAAACGCGTTCACTGCAATGCTGCTGGACTCACAACCACGACAGAAAACCCCATAAACCTAAACAGCGTATTCAGCAACTCCCCCTCCAACCTCTGCAAATACCTAACAGGCCATCTGGGAGCCAGAGCCAATACGAATGTCTCCATAAGGCCGACCGAGTAGCACGGGTGACAGCCGTGCTACGGAGCACACTGTTCTAGAAGACCGAGGGAAAAGGCAGCAAAGGGTGAGTCGGACCAGGGGTGCAGGGTGGGGACGGTGGCCCAGGTTACGGGGGAGCTCGCTCAAAACCTCAGCGTGACCAGGAGGAGGAACGGCGCCACGACGGGGAGGAGGTGTCTGCGGAAGGGACAGCCAGGCGAGAGTGGCAGCCCAGCCCCCAAACTCCCAGGGCAATCGGCCGCTCCCACCAGCGGGGCTGGACGACCGCCCTAAGGAGTGGGCACCCGATGGAGGACAGACCCCACACGCAGCAGCGTCGGGCCGGGCCGCACCAGGAGGACACGCGCCGTGCCCTCGAACCTCACCTTTTCTTTTCTTGCTCCTCCTTCTCGATTTTGTGGGACGCGACGTACGTGGAGAAGAGATGGCAACACCTGTTCAGGAGCTCGACAAACTCTACCATGGCGTCCTCTTTAGAGGTATTTCCCAGGGCCGCCCACTCTCTCCTGGAGGGAAAGCGGGACAGGTCACCTCCTCGCCACAGAGCGGAACGTGCCTTCACATAAGCCTACGCGCGAGCAATTCTCAATCAGAACTAAATCGGGAGAGGGACCCTGGCATAAGGCAAAGGCTCAAGTCCTCAGTTTCAACGAGCAAGCGGGGTTGACTGAACGAGCTAGGCCACGCGCGGCCCAAACTCACAGCCGTAACCGCGGACTGAACGCCCTGCGGGTCCTTTCCACGCTAGCAAAGGGGTACAGAAGAGTCCCTCTCCTCCTGTCACCGCATTTTAGTCGTAACTGAACGCGCTCCACGGTGCATTCTTTTTCTGCCACAACTCTGTGCGCGTCCCACAAGGACATGTCTTACTGTATACTTTATGTGGCTGCTTTTCGTGTTATTTGGGGAGGATCAACTTTAGCTGCACTTGTCTTATGTTCATAATCAGAGGAGTAAACTTCTTCCACATTATTTATGCAAACACATCTCCACGCCAAACACACACACACGTGAAGATTCCAGAAGCTGCGAGCAGCAATGTCTGTTTCAGTCTGACTCTAAGCTAAGGAGCCTGCTGTCTACATCTTAACCAACTGGCTCTCCACTCAACATTACTGTCGCTAAATCCGTTATACAACAAAACATCGTTACCTCCTGTCATTCCCCAACACATCAAAGAATCCAACCTCAGGACAAGTGTCTGGATTATATGGACCCATAAGAACCTGCTTATGCAGTGCCACAAGCTTCAGTTTTTCTTCGTAAGTGGGATGAAAGGCTTTGCCATCTTTTTCTGCAAGAAAAAGAAACACAAAAACAATCAGAATTGGCAAAAAAAAAAGTACTTTTGGTATCCGACGACGCCGTTTCGCTCTCTAAGGTAGTCACAAACTACCTGCGATAGATACAGATCTTACGGTGAGAGTTTTATTTCATATACTGAATTTTAATAGAGTCTAAGGCAGAAACCCTTTAGCGGAGTTGTTTGTTTTTAATGAAGCCAAACACCAATATTTATGTTAAAACTTCTACAGAAGAAACCAATCTGTCAAGCTAACAGGCACACACATACAAACTGTACCACCTGACATCTTCTACACATATTAAAACTTGTGCAACAATCATTTTTATAGTTATTTAACTTCATTTCAGAGAGAGAGCATGGGAGCAGGGGAGAGGGGCAGGGGTGGTGGAGGAGAGGTAAAGACAGAGAGAGAGAGAGAGAGAGAGAGAGAGAGAGAGAGAGAGAGAGGGGGAGGGAGAGGGAGGGAGAGGGAGGGAGAAAGAGAGAGAGAATGAATGAATTCCAAGCAGGCTCCATACTGTGTCGAGCCCAATGTGGGGCTTGATCCCACAACCCAGGATCACCCCCTGAGCCGAAATCAAGAGTTGGACACTCGGGGAGCCCAGGTGGCTCAATCGGTTAAGCGTCCAACTCTTGGTTTCGGCTCAAGTCATGATCTCATGGTTCACGGGTTCCAGCCCTTCATCGGGCTCCACCCCACGAAGCCTCTTTGGGATTCTCTGCTTCTCCCCCTCATCCTGCGCACTCTTCCTCTTTCCCTCTCTCTTTAAAAAAAGAAATTTTTTTTAAATTAAAAATAGTATGTATTGCCTACAAATTTTATCCTAGTACATAGTCGTCACCAAAATAAAATCACTGATGAGAAAAGAATGTGGGTTAAAGCTTATGAACAGGAAACTCAGCAGGAAAAAAAAAAAAAAAAAAAAAAAAAAAAGCGGCCAATAAGCATCCCAACATATTTAATCAACTAGTCACGAAAATGGCAATCAAAACCATACCAAACCATAACCAAAACTTGTGCCGTGATATGGTCAAAAAAAGTCAGGTAACATCAAGAGCTGGTAAGACCGGGACAAAGAGGCACCCACGCTCCCGGACGATGCTGTTAAGTATACACGGTTACCTTGGAAGGTAACAGTTATGTTAGAAGTTTTCTTGGAAGACAAGTTAGCGATAGATTCCAAAATCATAAAGGTGCACACCCTGCCATCCAGTCCTTCCAATTCTCGTTCTCTCCCCTTCATACTGTCCCGAATACGGACAGAGGCACGTGCAGGGATATTCGCTGCCGCTGTGTGCTTGCCATCCTAAACAATCTAAAAGTTCTTCGAGAAAGAAACGGCTAAATAATCTAACACATTTGGATTGTGGCATATATGACTTACAGGAAGTAGTAAGTGAAAAATGCAAGCGGCAGAAGATGATACGCAGTCAGAGCACACAACACGCTTCATCAATCCTAAACACTCCCCCAACCACACACTTGAACATCTCTAAAATCAGATTTGGTTTTACCACCTGCCATTTTCAAGTTACAAATAAGCAGGTTTTCTTTAGCATGTAAGATATTAGGGAGTCTTAAAGCTTTTAAAAACGGGGCGCCTGGGTAGCTCCGTTGAGCATACACGACTCCAGATTTTGGCTGCGGTCATGGTTTCAGAGTTGAGTTCGAGTCCATCGGGCTCCGTGCTGATAGCGCAAAGCCCGCTTGGAATTCTGTCTCCTTCTCTTTCTCTGTCTGCTCCTCCCACGTGCACGTACTCACGTGCTCTCTCAAAAATAAACTTTTAAAAAACAGGAAAAAAAAGGATCTTAGAGTTGACACAATACAGCATGTAAACACACCCACATACATATTCTACAGGTACGTTTACATGAATGTAAATGCAAATTAAAAAAATCCAGGAGTCACATCACACCAAAGGAAACCGAAGGAGTCTCACAGAGAATTTAAGCCTTACTTGTCATTGTAATCTTTCAAAGGAAAATGTGCGGAAGAGTAAGCTGAACTGTTAAGAGGAGTTTCCTTTTTTTTTTTATTTTATTTTATTTTTTTTAACGTTTATTTATTTTTGAGAGACAGAGAGAGAGAGAGAGAGAGAGAAAACATGAGCTGGGGAGGGGCAGAGAGAGGGAGACACAGAATCCCAAGCAGGCTCCAGGCTCTGAGCTGTCAGCACAGAGCCCGACACGGGGCTCGAACTCACGAACCGTGAGATCCTGACCTGAGCCGAAGTCAGACGCTTAATCGACTGAGCCACCCAAGAGCCCCAGAGAACTTTTATATACTTCTATGTACCTGCACTTTTTTTTCCAGCAAGAACAAACTCATGCGGTATTTGGAAAAAAATATTAAGAAAAGACACTGGGACACTGATCTTATTTATTTAATACAAATCGAAACAACTCAAGCAACCTGTGGACCTGCCATCTGTCTTTGCTACTGAGCAAACAGTATCACTAGACAATTAGCACCAAGGAGGAACTTCCTCTAAAGCTTTTTGGACAGGATTATCAGTTATTTATTTACCAAGTAAGAGGCAATTCCCACTTCAAAATCTCTTAGAATGCTATTTCAGGGTGCCCGGGGGTCTCAGTCGGTTAGGCATCCGACTCTTGGTTTTGGCTCAAGTCATGATCTCACGATTCATTGGTTCAAGCCCTGGTCAGGCTCTGTGCTGACGGTGCAGAGCCTGCTTGGAATTTTCTCATATTCTCTCTCTCTCTCGCTCTCTCTCTGCTCCTCCGCCACTTGCGTATGTGCTCTCTCTCTCACTCGCTCTCAAAATAAATAAAAATAAACCTAAAAAAAGAAGGTGTTTTTGTTTTTTTTTAATATTTTTTTAAAATGTTTGTTTTTGAGAGAGAGAGAGAGAGAGAGAGAGAGAAAGAGAGAGAGAGATACAGCACTAGTGGGGGAGGGTCAGAGAGAGAAGGAGACACAGAATCCGAAGCAGGCTCCAGGCTCTGAGCTGTCAGCACAGAGGCCGACAAGGGGCTCGAACTCACGGACCGCGAGATCGTGACCTGAGCCGAAGTCGGACGCTCAACCGACTGAGCCACCCAGGCGCCCCATGTTTTGTTTTTTAAAGCCAAAAAGAACTACTCTAAGGATACCATTTTGAGCCTTATAAAAAGAAATTACGTGCTGGTGACTCAAGGTGAAGTGAGCCTAAGAAACAGCAGGGGTGGAGCACAGGAGGTACAAGTCCTTGCTTTGTTCAGTCAGGATTGCTGGGGTTTGTCGCTTTCTCCTTTAGGGGGAAAAAAAGCCTGAATTGTATGGAAGTGGTTGCTCTGACCTAAATAAATGTAAATAAAGATAAAATCAGATGGAAACTTTATCCACTAGAAGACCAAACACTTTCCCGATTAGTCATGTAATATAGCAATTTTCAAACCTACACACACACACACACACACACACACACACACATTCCTACTTGCTGCAGGGAGAGGATTTGACACCAACAGTCTAGTAGATATCAACACAATTTTTCTAGCCTATTGACTACTACAGTTATTTCAGTGGAGGGAGGGTCCATTTCTTACCAGGTAATGAATTTACTCCTTTATTTCAAAGACCTAGCCCTGCAAACTAGGAGCAGGGGAAGAAGGGGGAGGGTAGGCAAACATCGAAACTGTGACAGTTAATTAGCAAGTTGTCAGCCTAACCTCCCGCCCTAAAAAGTGACTCACCCACAGGCAGGGTGAGTTTCCGGATTTCTGAATGTCGTTTTAACATGTGCCCTTTTTACTGGAGCAGCATGGTACTCGTGACGTCTGGTCTGTGAGTTTGAGCCGTAGAGATTACTTAAAAATAAAATTTCACAGGGGTTCCTGGGGGGCTCAGTCGGTTAAGCGTCCGACTTCGGCTTGGGTCATGATCTCACGGTTCATGGGTTCGAGACCCATGTCTGGCTCTGTGCGGACACCTCGGAGCCTCGAGTCTGCTTCGGATTCTCTCTCTGCCCCTTCCCTGCTTGCACTCTGTGTGTCTCTCTCTCTCTCTCTTTCTCTCTCTCAAAAATAAATAAAATGTAAAAAAATAAATAAATAAAATCTCACACACAAAAAAATAAAGAAAGAAGAATACATTTTCAGTGTTAGCTCTGGCCCAGCGTCAAATTAATCTGTTCACCACCATGAACCCGAGCACTCAGCACCACGCTTGGTTCATGGGTACCACCTAACCCATGCCCGACTAAAGGAAAAACTAACTTCACAGGTCAATTTCTGTGAGAATTAGCAAAATGGTACATTCGTTCTTATCAACTGTACTGGCATTTCCACAGAATCATGTGCACACTTGTTCAAGAACTGTTCTATCATCTTTCGTTAAATTCTACTATGGGATCTTCACATTAATCGGCATCATCCAAGCTGGGGACCAAATGTGTCTGAACCAAAAACAAGCACGACAAGACAAAGAAAAGGAAACGCATCGAAACGTCATCTTTCTGAAGGATCGGCTTACAGAGTTTTCTTTAGTCATTTTTTATTCCCAAATTTTCTTCAATATGCATAACGTACTTTCACATCAAATACATATACGCTTTTTTCTTGTTTAACAAACATTTGTAAAAAGTCAAGACAACTCATCTTTCAGCCTTTGGGACGAGGTTAACAGATCCATTATTCTCCCCGGAAGAAGAGACACAACCCAGGAGGATGTGCAAATCCCACCCTCGGTATACACAGCCCACACGGTGCTCGTGTTCTCAACGCAGGATGTGTTTTGTTCGGTTTTCCAAGTCAGATGAGAATAATTTTCTTCTCAATTACTTACGGTTCCACAGGCATTAAATACGCTTAATAGGGAAGTTGTAACTGCCATTAACTACACAGAAAAAGCCTTGATGAAACTCAAAAATCTCTCACCAGGACCACATTCCTAAAGGGAAGTTCTAGTTCAGTGCTGCCGGAAAGGAATACAGACTGGCATCACCTTAGGTTCCTGCAGTCACACGGTTAATTATTACCAAGTTATACTCTGTTTTCTACGGCAACCAAAAAACAAATGTGAAGTACGCTTAGAAAGAAACGGCAGGGCTATTTTTCAGGTACAACCGCATAAAGACACAGCAACAAGCAGACGGCTACCATCACCAAAGGGAAGCGTGACTGCAAAGCTAGTCATTCTTTTTTTTTTTTTTTTTTAACGTTTATTTATTATTGAGAGACAGAGCGAGACAGAGCATGAGCATGGGAGGGGCACAGAGAGGGGGAGACACAGAATCCGAAGCAGGCTCCAGGCTCCGAGCCGTCAGCACAGAGCCCGATGCGGGGCTCGAACTCACAAACCAGGAGATCATGACCTGAGCTGAAGTTGGATGCCTAAATGACTGAGCCACACAGGTGCCCCGCAAAGCTAGTCATTCTTAACTGACTGGACTGAAAGGGATCACCTGTTGGCATCTGTCCAGCAACAACGATTTTAAAAAGTTCATTTTCTGTAAAACCGAAGACCAATAAAAGGTTACAAATCAGTTTTACCTAAAGGAGACAGACTAAAGCAGGGAGTGGCAAACTGGATCGATCATGCCCACTGCTGTCTTTATAAGACCTGGGAGCTAAGAATGGCTTTTGTAAAGTTTTCTTGTTTAAAGTAAGCGCTATGCCCAACGTGGGGCTTCAACTCATGACCCTGAGATCAACAGTCACATCTCTACCGAATGAGCCGGCCAGGTGCCCCTGGCTTTTACGGTTTTCAAGGGCTGTAAAGCAACAACAAAAAAGCAAAAATGGAAAAACAAAAACAAAGAATATAAATGAACACAGACCATATGTAGCCATTAGAGACTAAAATACTATCTAGCCTTTTATTTTTTTTTTTTTGATGTTTATTTATTGACAGAAATAGACAGACAGACAGAATGTGAGCAGGGGAGGAGCAGACAGAGAAGGAGACACAGAATCCAAAGCAGGCTCCAGACTCTGAGCTGTCAGCAGAGCCCACAAACCGCGAGATCATAACCTGAGCCAAAGTCAGACGCTTAACCAACTGAGCCACCCAGGCGCCCCCTATCTGGCCCTTTTATAGGGAAAGTTTGCCGACTCCTGACTAGAGGAAGAAGTAAACTCAGAAGCCAAATGACTTCCAGGTATTCAAAAAAAAAAATGCCAGTATAATTAAAAGGATAGAGAAAGTATTCACAAACTTCCAGCTAACCATGATGAATTAAACACACACCATTAGCTCTGATCCTCGATGAAAAACCTCCACGCAAACAAACAAGGGAGGCAATTTAGAGAACGCTGGGAAGGTTCAGGAACCGGGTTCCTGAGGCTCCAGGTTCATAAGAAGCTGGAGTCTAGATGGAAATAATAATGCTTCTTAGGGGTACTAAGGAGGAGGCACCCCTCCCTCCCACTGTGTTCGACAACCCCAAGCAGGCAGGCGGCTACCCGGCCCCTACTTCAGCAGAGGGCTGACGTTTACTGGAGAACCCGAATCACACGTGCTCCAGATGGGGGAGCACCAGGCTGGGAGTGAAATGCAGGACTAAAAACCGAGCAACGAGTTGCCCTCATCAACCCTCATCAACGGTCAACAACTTCCCCCCACCCTCCCTTCTCCGGCCTACTTCCTGAATGCTGACAACTAAGTTCCTACGACCCAGGAAGCAGCCAGGAGTATCTGCGGGAAAAACTGACCCCAAAGATAAAACCTACAATTACTGGGGCGCCTGGGTGGCTCCGTCGGTTAAGCGTCTGACTTCGGCTCAGATCACGATCTCGCGGTCCGTGGGTTCGAGCCCCGCGTCGGGCTCTGTGCTGACAGCTCAGAGCCTGGAGCCTGTTTCAGATTCTGTGTCTCCCTCTTTCTCTGACCCTCCCCTGTTCATGCTCTCTCTCTCAAAAATAAATAAATGTTAAAAAAAATTAAAAAAAAAAACAACCTACAATTACTAATTCGAAAGGTACTGAT